CCAAGGATCTATTAGTCAGAATATTGTTTTGTTTTCTTTTTTATTTAAATTAGAAACAATCTCTTTTATACATCAATCTCAGTTCCCTTTTCCTCCCCTCCTCCCCTGCCACCCACAGATTGCCTATCTCAACCCCTTTCTGCTCCCCAGGGAGGGTGAGGCCTTCCATGGAGGATCTTCAAAGTCTGTCATATCATTTGGAGCAGGAACTACAGCCTCTACAGTGTGTCTAGGCTGAGAGAGTATCCCTCAATGAGGAGAGGGCTCCCAGAGTTTATTTGTGTACTGGGGGTAAATACTGATCCACTACCAGTAGCCCCATAGGTTGTCCATATCTCCGAACTGACTTCCTCATTCAGGGAGTCTGGAAAAAGTCCTATGCTGGTTTCCCAGGTATCAGTCTGGTGTCCATGCACAGCCCCTTGTTCAGGTCAGCTGTTCTGTGGGTTTCTCCAGCCTGGTCTTTGCTCATATCTCCTCCCTCTCTGTAACTGGATTCCAGAGTTCAGCTCAGTGTTTAGCTGTGGGTGTCTGCATCTGCTTCCATAAGTTACTGGATGAAGGTAACAGGATGGTATATAAGGTCAATCTCATTATAGGAGAAGGGCATATAAGGTAGCCTATCAACTATTACTTAGATTGTTAGTTGGGATCAACTTTGTAGATCTTTGGAATGCAAGAACACATCAGAGAAATCATCCAAAATGATAAAGTAGGCTTCATCCCTGGAATGCCAGGATGGATCAACATACAAAAATCTGTCAATGTAATCCACCATATAAACAAACTGAGAAGGACAAACCACATGATCATCTCACTAGATCCTGAAAAATCCTTTGACAAAATCCAACAGCCCTTCAATATGAAGGTCTTGGAGAAATAAGTGATAACATTCCTAAACATAATAAAAAACAATATTCTGCAAGCCAACAGCTAACATCAAACTAAATGGAGAGAAACTAATGAAATTCCTCTAAAATCAGGGACAAGACAACGCTGTCCACTCTCTCCATACTTATTCAATATTGTCCTTGATGTTCTAGCTAGAGCAATAAGACAACAAAGGGGAATCAAGGAGATACAAATTGGAAAGAAAGAAGTCAAACTTTCACTATTTGCAGATGATATGAAAGTCTACATAAGGGACACAAAAACTGTACCAGGGAACTCCTACAGCTGATAACACCTTCAGAAACATGGCAGGATACAAGATTAACTCCAAAAAATCAGTACAAGTACTATATACAGATGATAAATACACTGAGAAAGAAATCAGACAAGCATCACCCTTTACAGTTGCCACAAACAATATAAAATATCTTGGAGTAATGCTAACCAAAAAAGTAAAAGAACTGGATAGTAAGAATTTTGAGTCTTTAAAGAAAGAAATTAAAGAAGATACATGTTTCAATATATATTCATGTATATGCGTAACAACACAAGTGCAGTTGTTTTAATCACATATTAATAATGGTACCACATTGGCATTATTTTATACTATTGACCACGAAATCAGCTCCTCTTGATTCTCAAGAATATCCTAGCTCCATAAATAACTTTATTTATATGTTATTATTCTCTGTTTTCTTGCACATTTCCTATGACTGTACACAAAGACTAAACATGAGGCTCATGCATATGCTATATAATGTTCCCCAGAATGAAACCATGCCCTCAAATATTATGGAGAGATCTACTTACTATGGCACCTTTCACTTATAATTGATATGATCATTCCTGTATGACCTTTGCCATAATTTACCTTGAAATGATTTCATTTGATTTGAGAATCATATGGAAGTAATGAGAAGTGAAGGTAGAGGTTGAAATAGGAATAATATTTTATGACATTTTATACTGGTAGACACTTCATAAACTACTGTATTGACTTCACTCCAGTGTCTTTACAACATGGAATATTATCACACTGGCTGATAAATATAAAGTGAAGACTTTATACAGAATTTTAACCACCAGCTTGCCCAGTAAGATTGGGAGTCTGTGGTCCTTCCAATGCAATCACTCACTATTAGTGATCCTCCACAACGCTCCCTGGATCCGTCTTCTTTTGGTATGGTATTTTCCTTCATATCTTTATATTGTTTTCCTTCATAGACTATACATTTATTAACACAGAGTTGCTTACAAATATCAATGCACTAAGTATTTTTTCTTTAGAAACAATCATTTCACATATCAATCCCCCCTTCCTGCATCCTCCCATGCTCCCTACCAACCCTCCCCAACCCACTCCCCAAGGATGGAGAGGCCTTCCATGGGATCATCAAAATTTTTTCACATCATTTGGGGGAGGGCCCCATGTATCTGGGCTGATATAATATCCCTCCATAAAGAATGGGTTCCCAAAGTCCATTTGTGCACTAGGGTTAATATTGGTTCCACTATTAGGGATCCCATAGACTGTTCAGATCTCTTAACTGGCACCCGCATTCAGAGGGTTTGGTTCAGTCCAATGCTGGTTCCCCAGCTTTATGACTTAGGTCCCTGTGCTCTCACTAGGTGAGGTTAGCTGATTTTGTAGGTTTCTCCAGCATGGTCTTGACTCCTTTACTTGTCCCTCCTCCCTCTCTACAGCTAGATTCTAGTAGTATCACTCAGTGCTTAGCTGTGGGTGCCTGCATCTGCTTCCATCAGCTACTGGATGAAATCTGTAGAAATGCAATTAAGGTAGTCATCAATCTCATTATAGGTGAAGGAGGGCATCAAAGGCAGCCTCTGAACTACTGCCTACATTCTAGTTGGGATCATCTTTGTGGGTATCTGAAGATTTCCCTACTGCCAGATTTCTCTTTAAGCATATAATGATGGCATTATCTTAAGCATAATCTAATACTTAGAAGGGAAAGGACAATCAAGTACAAACAGTAACAATGCAACTATTAATTTCATCATTAGGTTCATCTGGAATTGAATAAAATGAATAGTACCCTGCCTGGTCAGAGCTTGCATCATTATAATCAGTGAATGAAAAATCATGTTGTTTTGACTTTTTATAAATTGTCCTATATTCTGTGTGTTGACACAGATAAAGTTAATACTTATCTCAAATTCTTGAGGTGTGTGCATATTCATGAGACATCTGTTATAACTTAGAGGACTGGGGCACTCTTTAATGATCCATTTTAATGATTTTTTAATATGTGCTTGACTGTAATATTTCTCCATAAAAGCAAAATTGTGCTTTATACATGTTAACGTGTAATGTGACAATTATTAATACTTTCTAGTATTTAGTAGTAAACACATCAATAACATAGAACTTCTCCTAACATAAAGAATAGATGTTTGATTGGCAAATGATGCAACTGGCTTCTTCCCACTTTCATCCAGTCCAATCCTCAAAAACTACATTGATGACTTAGAAAATCATATAAAAGCAGGACACATTATTTGATAGCAATATTGTTCCTAAAATCATGTCAGAAGTAAGAATCCTAGTGATTTTCATGGTCCCTAGGCATTATTTGGCACATAGGATCCATGTTGATAGGGGAAACAGGCAGCCTATGTGAAAATCAAAATTCCAAATACCAGCAACACATGGAAGGCTGACTATACAAAATGAGTATCCAATGTTTCTACAGATAGCAGTTCATGTCCAGCCTTCCCTAGCCCCCACTTCCTTTACATACATAGGAGAGTCTGAGAAGTTCATAAATTGTTAATTTCTACCCAGTAATTGTAATAGAATTTGAGTTTGTTTTCTGATTAATAACATGACATGAAGAGGAAAGATGCCATTCTGTAATCTCCTTGAGCTAGAGAACTGTGCAAGGTTCTCCTTAAACTCATCTAATATGACAGATAATGAAATCCTTTAGTGGGACAGTAACTTTTGAAAGATGTCCAATACTAGGTAGTAAAATTTGTATAATTCTTGAAAGTGTGATGGAAGTATGTGTAAACTTTGGTCATGGAATTTGGTGAAATGAAGCGGATCATGGGGAAGTGGGAAATAGCTGGAGAAGATTATCACTAGGGGTCAAGCATTGAGGCTTACAATGCATCACTTGTGCCCCGCTCAATATTTTTCTACTGTTTTGTCTGCTTTAATATGATTCTTTTTATTCTTCTTATGCTGGGACAAGTTCTTCAAATGTAATCTTGTAAGCTGAATACCCTAGAGGTAATAGAAAGCAGAACCACTCTAGTGTGATAGTGAGCAATTGCTAATACTTCCCAAATATTTTTCTGCTTTTCATTTGGTGATCCTGTATATTGCATCGGCTTCCTCTTAATCTAGCCTGAAAACTTCATACTTCAATTAGAATCAAACCACAAAGAGATATGTTCCCATGTCCTCTGGCATGCTGAACCTTGTCTATCAATGTGGGATAAGTTTGTTTGTTTTATATTTTTATTTTTAAAGTATTAAAATGGTCCTGGATTCTGAACTATGGAAGAGGGAAATCTGCCTCTTTCCTAAGAAGGCCCTAAGGTGGATCAACGTGGCAGATGGGCACTAGAAAAATATAGATCTGTTTCCTACTTCTACCTACTACATATTTGAATGTCTAAATTAATGATACTTAGGGATAGTCCAATATTATTGAACCTCTATTGATTGTTATTAGACTAAAACTTTGCTCACAGAATGGTTTTCTTTTATAAGCTCCATCAGATATCTACTCCCTTGATGTAATTGATTTAATGAGTAGCACTAGGCTCTGGCCTTGTTCTTAAGTAAATTGTCCACCTTCATTCACTATTATATAAAATCAGTTTTATGCTGTTGCTTGTCAAACTTGAGGTTTTTGAATGAACATCACAAAAGCCTAGACTCAATTATATTAAATGGACACAAGAGACTTTCTTAAATTTTCACATTGAATCTGTTGTTTCTAAAGAATTTTATTTTATTGAAAGAATTCCATTTTAATCATGCATGCACCAAGAAGCATAAAAAAGACATTAAAGATCTGGTTCAACAAGTATCATGACCGGAGAACATTACTGGGACACGCACTCAGCAATCGTTGCTAATCGCGATCGGGACAATCCACCCTAACACTAGCTCTGCACCACATGTCCCTGAGATAATTGATAATCTTTTGCATATCTCCTTTCAGGCAGGTGGTCAAGGAATGAACGGCAGAACGAAGAGTGTCTTCATCAGATGACTGCAAATCTGACTCTCCGGACCACTCAGGGTAGGCATTATCTTCAACTACAACATGGGTCTAAACATCAAATGCAAAGGTATTATTGACATTATCCTCTCTCTGTCTCTGTCTCTGTCTCTGTCTCTGTCTCTGTCTCTGTCTCTCTCTCTCTCTCTCTCTCTCTCTCTCTGTGTGTGTGTGTGTGTGTGTGTGTGTGTGTGTGTGTTTGTACTACAAATGATTTGGATGTCAGTGGTCAATTTTGGGCATAATTCCTTCAGTGGCATCTACTTGGATTTTTGAGAGAGTTGTTCTTACTTTCACCTGAAACTCATGACACATCTTATGTCTGATTCCCCATTCTGATGGCTACAAAGCAAAGACACCACATTGACATTTGACACCAATTCTGGAAATGGACATGGTCCTCTCACATGGAAGACAGGACTTACAGACATGAGAAATCTCTCAGTGCATATTCCTTGTAAATTTTTAATGAACTTTGGTAGAACATAGAGAACTATAGATTTATAGTGAGAAAACTTGGAAATTAGCATAAAGATGTTAGATGACAACACATAAATTCGAGACAAGCATAATATGTATTTTCTGACATGTCACTGATCTCAGATGAGATATAACCATACACAAGTAGACAGATAGCAAATCAGCAATATAATATTTGGCTGTATATATGGAATTAACTAAACATCAAGGAAAGGGCTAGTATCATCCTTTCACTTTGTGAACTTCTACACGAACTCAGTACTTTCCCTGATGTGTGCTTTATACCACACTTCTTCTGGTGCAGTGTTCTGATTCATTCCTTCTTTTCAGATAAATTCTTTCTACACTCTATATACTTTATGAATCCTTGCACATGAGCAGTATATTTCACTTAATGCATTATGGTACAGCTGATCCAGACAGTGAATGCTTGAAGAAGATCTGAGTTAGTCTGGAGTGTCCACCCCATTCCAGAAAGCTATTGTGGAATTTACTAGGACACACACAACTATTTTCTACAGGCATCACTGTTCCATGGGATTACTAAGTAACCTTGTATTTGAGTGTCTCAAAATTGTTTTGGACTACATAATTTGCAAATTTTAGGAATAGGATAAACAAAGACATGTCGAAACAGCTTACCCTGTTGAGGATGGGCTTAAGTCCCTCCCGAAGCATATTGTTTCCTTCCATCACACCAGTGGCTGTTCTCAGCAGATTATCAGAAGCTCCCGGGAGAGCAGGCACTGCAGACACCAGGTTTGTCAGTGGTTTTACCCAGGCATGAGTAATAATGCCGACTGATTTCAAAAGGTCTGGGATCTAGGCAAATATCAGTGGACATCATATTAAACTAGGTGTCACACAGCTATGTAGAGAAATAATTGTAGATTTTTCATAAGGGAGGCAAATGACAGTATACTTGTATTATTAATAGTATATGGTAATCATTTCATAGTATAGAAATACTGCATGAATATTAAATTACACCTACAGAATTCCACTATGTTAAATAAAACAAATGAGGCCTTAATAATTTTGACTACTCAAAATGATCATATTTTGTGTTTCCTCTACATTCTATCATTTGTCCCAGTTGTTAGAATTGTTCTCTTGCATTGCTTATATTGTCATCGAAAAAACTGGTTGGACAGGACTCAGTAGGTGTCCAAAGATATGACTCATAAAACATAGATGCCAACACTGTCAGGAGTAAATGAATCAAGTGATTTCTACACTACTGATCAAATTGGTTTCTCATATACTTTAGACTCCCTAATTATCATATGAGTTGACTGCAGACAAATCATAATTTCACATATCTGCATGATTCCCCCTACCCTTGGGTCTAGAGGAATTGTCTGTTTATTGACTAGTACAAAAGGAAAGCTATATCAAAGCATTTCTGTCATTCCAGGCATTGGTAGAAATCAGAATGGAATTTTAACTTAGTAACTATTAGCTCAAGACCAAAGTCAAACACAATAAATTTTATATTAGCTGTTTAATATGAT